TTCCTATTACTTGATAGTTTCTTCTGGGGAGCCTTCATCCGTGACTCGACGCGAGTTCCTTGTGTAATGAGGTGCGGTGGTCTTGGCCACTTTCGTGTCCCTTAGCAAGGAGAACTCCTTTGTGGGGCTGGCCATTCTGCTTCTCGCTTTTGCATTTTTGTATGTGTTGCTTGCTTTCTATGTTTATGATTGTTTAATGGTCTGTGAACACAAATGATTGGTTTGCCATGGTTTGCGCAGACATGTGGGTAGAAGTTGTCAAGACATGTACGCCAGTGAGAGCTTGTTAAGTTCATGTTGCACTCAATCCCAGACCTTGTTCCACTCGGTGACATATGATCATATGGACGTTATTGTTTTGGCCAAAAGTTGAAAGACAGTATTTTGACATGTTTTGACATAATTTAGGAAAGGCACTTGCCTTCTGATGTCCGCTAAAGATAAGTTTTTTCAATTATGACTCTCCACGCATTCTTCACTTGGCTGTTTTCGCCGAGAGCAGTTTTTTTTTTGCAGTTGTTTTCCACGCAATGGGTCATTGTCGGATCGGCTGCCACGAACCTTCGGGCTCCACTCGCCAGAGTCTTCTCCCCGGAAGCTGGATGAAGTGATGAGGCAGCTCATCTGACCATCACACATCTGACAACGTAACGATGTTTCCAACCCTTTGCATCTACAAGGTTTGGCCAAACCCTTGGAGTTTCTGAAGCTCCGAACTCGAGTTCCTCACTTCGGAAGCACCGAGTCGCGAAGCTCCGAGGCTTTGGTTGATCCTCTTGGCCTTGAGTGGCTATACCGCCTCGCCCCACTTGGCTGGCTGGGCCGCTGGGAACATGGAGATGGATTGATCAGTTGGGTAGATTCTAAATGAGAGCATCCGACAAGACTTCCGTATATTTTAATTTACATAGACATAGACATGAGCCGCACAGAGATAGTTTTCTCCGCTACTCAGCTACTCATATACCATGCCCACCCACCATGAAAACGGCAGATGGAGGGCCAGGGGGTGGTGGATGGATTTCGGGGGTCCATTTTACCTATCAAAGAAGACTCCAGTCCGTGGACAAGGGATCTGTCTGAGGATGGCACCCGTGGCCACGGCTGGGTTTGGTGGATCCTGTTCTTCCTCTCAGCAGCCACGGCGATCCTTCGACTGCTTTGGCAGGCACCGATGGGCCATGGGGAGCTGGTGCCAAGGGAGAGTATGACGTAGTGGGTGAGCCAGGAATAAATGCGTGGATGGATCAATCAACTTGAATAGTACACAAGTAGATGTACTTCCATGGACTAGATGTTTTTGAGATCTTTTGTTCAACAGTTATAGTCGTGGAGATCCATTCTTTTGCAAACCCTGGACATGCACATGCAATGGGCTAACATTGTTTTGAAGTCTTATGCATTTCTTTCCAACCCTGGTAGAGCTTGTGTCCCCTTAGGCCACACATCACCAGTGGAGACGTGTCTCCGAGAGCTTCAGAGACTTCACCCATTGAACATCATTGAGGGCCCACGTCATGAAGACCCAGGGACGTGTAGGTCGCTCCCTCACTACCATGAAAGCTTCCCAAACAAAGAGAATCGCTTGCTTCCCAACCACATTCCTGTAGCCTTAGGATCCTTAGGCCAGGACTGCCCCCGCATCATCGCCGGCACGGGTTCCACGCGACCTCGTGCCTGCTGGGAGCTTCCCCTTCCACGGTTGGGCCACCTCGCTGGGGACCTTGGAGTTGGAACCACCCGACTTCTCGACCGCACAGCTTCCGAGCGCCCGATCCACGTGACCCAGGGCAGGGCAGGGCGCTGGTGTCCGGTCCACCACCCATACCTGCCATCCCAGCATAGCCAGACACTCCATGGGACTGCCATATATGCCTACATTGGGGGTCAATGTAGGAATATATGGCAGTCCCATGGAGTGTCTGGCATATATATGTTTTGATGGCCCCTTCTCTGGTGCTCGGAAGCATGACCACTACGTGTGAAGGCTTCATGCGATGCAGTGTTTCGTGGATCCGTTCTCTTGGTTCTCTAGCTATTCGAAGGTTGGTAAACTGGGCAGACTCCTTAACAATCAGGTACCATATGAAGATCCTTTATTCTATATGGTGATTGTTTGATTCTCGTGTGAAAACATTGGAATCCCAGGGTTTTTCGCAGACAGGTGAAACAAATGCGTTTGGATTTCTTCGTTCGACGTGTTGAGCTGCCGTTTTAGCCGACAACAGCAGGTCCTGGCCACTGAGCCATTCCTAGCATTAGGCCAGGACTGAGCGCTTTGCGGAGGTTGAGGGAGGCATGGTGGAGACATGGTGGGTTTCGGAATTGGGGTTTCGTTTCTGCTTGCCTTAATCATGTTTTTGGTTGGAACCTGGGGTGACTGGGTATATGGATGGTGAGTGGTGGCTAGAGGATGAGACCAGCATTTGGCATGAATTCGCAGAGTGAGAGGTGCAACCCCTTTCCCGTGGGGCCTGTGGGAGTTTGCGCGGCTCTCAATCCATTGGGTTTGGTATTTGGCCAAGCATGGGGCCCAAAATGTTCCCCATGCTGTCGGAAGAGTCTTCAAGAACAGTCGGCAGAGTATAGGTACAATCATTGGCATTTGCGCAACCACCAGGACCCACAGGCCAATGTATATAGAGGAAATGGTCTGACCGTTGCAACATTCCTCCATGAGTGGCTCAAAGACTGAATGGGTCGTAGCAAGTATACTCCTAGGGTTTTGCTGCAAACTGGTGTTTGCTTAGTACACATGCATTGGAAAAACATCATGTGGTGAGTAGGCACCACGTCCATGTGCCTGTCGACATATTTGTTCGTCGGTTACACCAAGCATGTCAACAAAACAGACCCTTTCGGCTCCGACAAGACAAGAAGAGATGAAATCATCAAAAAGACGAGATCATCTCGGTCAGTCATCTCGGTCAGTCAGATTCCCTCCACAGGTTTGGCCATTGGTTCGGTCTTTGGATAAGAGTCGAATTTAAGGGTTCGTATCCCAATGTATCCCATGGAGGTTCTCACGGTCTGATGTTAGTTTTAGGTATTGCACATTGCACACCCCAAACTTTCAGGATTCTCCCTATTCTCCCTATTGTAGATATGAAGTTTGCAACTGTCTTCTGGTTTGTAGGATGTCTTTAAATTTTGTACTTCCACGTTGCGAACACCAAAAAGGGGATTCTTCTTGCGCCTCGGAGCTCCCGACCGCCACGGACTGGTCGCCCAGTCCGTCCTTCCTGGTTCCGCCATTTGGTCCCCAGGCCTCTCTCGGAATCTGCTGGACATGGGCGGCTACTTGCTGCTGGCAGGCTCCAGCGCTCTCCAGGCGCGAACAAGACCATCAAGCCATAACGAGCCCCAATGGTGCGGCAGCCACTTGCCGTTTTTTCCTCCCCCACGCTGGTCAGAGGTGTCCAAATGGAAGCCTTTTACGGAGTCTCGGGCAAGTTGTGCCTTGATGTTCCTTCTTTTGAGCCAAGTAACATGTATATGATGCTCTTCTATTCGCGAGGCTGTTACAAGCCAAATGTGTGCTCCAAATCCAACTTTGCCTCCTTAAGCCAGCTTCATCCCCCAGAATCTATGCTGGCTCATATAGGGTCCGGGTCGACCCTCGCACAGCCGACGGGTCGATTTCTCGCCGGTCTTGGTCCCACCCCATCATCTTCACGGGTCTTCCTGCGATTTCGCCGGAGAGGTCCGAGCCTTTCGGGCGAGCGTGGAGTCACCACCCTGGAGACTTGGAGAGAGAGGGCGCTGGAGCCGAGACTTTCAGGTGGAAAGGCCTGGTCCAGGTGGAAGAGGCGTCGAGATGGGTGTGTTTGAATGGGGAAGCCATCCTGGTGGCCTGGCCTGAAAGCCGGCTGGGTAGATGGGTCTATTTCCACCTTCCGAACCCCAGGGGGTTGGAACGCTTGCATTTCGGTCTCCCTATTGTTATGCACACCCGGTTTTTCCCGGAGGGTTGGGTGACCCCTTGTTAAGCCTCCCCGATGTGCCTGGCTAACTTCTAGGTGCTTCGGAACGCGGAGAGCTTGTCTCCCGAGACTCCGTGTTTGCAAACGCCACCGAAGGCCACACCCAGATCTGGAAGGTGTGTCAGAAGCCAAAGAGTTGGGAGGGTCAGTCGGTCAGTCCAACTGATCTCTTCAGGTCAGTCCGCAGAAACAGCTCATATATAGGGCCATCACCAACGGCTAACCACCCCACTGGTCTAGTTGCAACTGCAGCTTCTCTCGGCATTTAAAAGCTTCTACACTTTAGGGCCAAAAAACAGTCATAGAACATCATCGAGTGCTTCAACACTTTGGGTGTCTCTCGATGTGGCGGTCAAACAAACGATCCTGGCCTTTGGGGTCAATGGTCGTTCGGCTCATTGTTGAAAGATCTGAGGCCCGATAGGTACGAAAAGCGGTGTGATTCACACTTTTCTGCACAGGACATGGTGGATTGATCAGGGCCTGAAGTGATGAACGCTTGAAATGTCATACTTTAGGACCGCCTGGAGGTACTGTGTGCTGACGCAGTTTCCAATGAGCTTGCTACTGTAGTTTGCCACTTGCTCGCTGCCAAATGTCAACCTTTGCAAGATACATGTTACGACGATCCTTTGGACATGTTCCAACCCAGTAGCATGTTCTTTGCCTTTCACTAAAGACAATACGCAACAAATCGGCATGTCTCAAATCACAAGCGCTACTGGGGTAGAGTGTATGTATGTATTAATTATACAATACACATATAAATCAAATATACTGTTTGTGTGCGTTATGCCGCTTGGCCTAGAAACAAGGTTTTTGTTAGGCCTCTTTAGGTGGCCTCGGCGCTCCTCTCTTTTTGTTGGGTGCTCCGTTGCGGTTGGTTGCGAGGTTGGAACATGGATCCAAGAGCTCAAAGAGCCTCGAAGACCCTCCAGTCACCCGTTTGAGGCCAGGCCCTATAATAACCCAGCTCAAGTCAACCACCCAGCAGCCACAGGTCAAGCGTAGTCAAGCATGATCAAAGATCCAAAGATGGCAGTGCGCCCCAAAATTTCCATAGCTTCACTGAGGATGATGAGCCACACCTCACTCTTGGCGCAGTGTTCCAGCACTTTTGGGATCTTCTTGCCCATGGTGCTGATGTTCGTGGTGGTGATGCTGCCCCCAGCTGCTTGGACTTCTGCTTGATCCATGGTGCTGCCAAGGAACAGGCTATGAGTTTGGGTAATCTAGATGTCAGCTAGTTCATGTCATATAGTTCAATCATGTTCCATATACAGGGGCAGTTTCAGAAGATGTCCATGGTCCTCCCCTTTCTCCATGTTTTGGTCCACCCGTCTCCGTCCGTCCAGTGCGGAGCCCTGCACAGTTTCGGTTCACTGCCACGGAAGGAGATCTCACGAGGGGCGAGGGGCGAGGGGCAAGGTAGTTGGGTGTCTTTCATGCGAACACCAAGTGTGACATCACAGTAAGCTCAGAATTTTTACCCCATTGGCTCACCTTTGAGAGGAAAACACGTTGGTTTCTACCCACTACACAAAGATACAAGTGAATCCACTGAACTGAAGAGTGTGGGAAGTTTTGAAGCTAGCCACTTGAAGGAGACCGCAAAACATCACAAAACGGCCCCAGCCCCCACTCCCACTGAGGCCTCCATTTTTTCCTTTGCAGTGCTTTTGCTCTTTGTTGCCATGGCAGCAGTGGCACCTTGGCAAAAGGTGCTTGGATAGTTGGGTTTCAATGGTTGTTGGGCACCGAGTATTTCTTGATTGATTGTTTCAGCCAGTTGGTTGCGTGACTTACTGTAGATCATAGCATGGATGAACCAGAGAACTATCTATGGACAGCAACGCAGTAGTTCTCACGAGAAGTCGCAAAGTCAATCATTCTACCAATTTGTTTTTCTCTCTCTCACTGTCCTTTTTGTTCAACCCACTTCCAGCATGCCAGACTGAGGAACAATTTGGCCTCCACCGCTTTCACTCCACTGTCCTGATGTTGACTTGCCTGGTGGCTGCGATTCAGTATCTTGACCAAAGAAGCGGCAGGATCGATGGATGCGGGCAGAAAAATATATCTATACCTATACCTGGAAACCCGTCCCAACCAGAAACAAATCGATACAAATGGTTGTTATCATAGTCATATGATTATTGTTGAGATTTACCTCAGAAGTGGTTGTTTGGGAACATTCGTTCGTTTCTGGTTGGGACTGGGTTTCCAAGCACATGGAAGTCCACCCAAACTCCGACAGTTGGAAAGTCGTCAAAGATCACACGTATACATAGTCTGAGGGATATGTGTGCATCAACAAAGCACTATCCAGTGGAATAGGAAGGGCATTTGGGATATATGCGGATGTGAGTTGTGATGAGACCCAGTTCCATCGAGAAAGGTCCTAGTTCGTTCAACTGCCGTGGTCCCAGGGTTCCTTCAACTGCCGAGGTTCCAGGGTTCCTTGAGTTCCGATCCATGTGGAACGTCCTCTCCCTGGGGCTGACCTACCTCCATCCCAGGTTGCCCTTCCGCTTTGTGGTGATGCTTCCAAGCATCAAGGCGTTCATCCAGGAGCACTTGCCAAAGGCTGACTATAAGGCCGACTGTTGCGCGCGTTCCACCGTTTCGGACGTCATGGACCTCCATACTTCGCAGACTTCGCTCCTCAATCCGATTGAACAGTCGTGGACGTCGTGGTGTTTCGTTGGATTAGGCGTGGTGGCCAAATCCAGGTGTGAGAAACATACACCTTGGGTCGATCCTATGAGTAGAGAGTCTCCCATGTTTAATCTACTTGGGTCGATCCCCCAGACACCTAGGTCGATCCCCCAGACACCTAGGTCG